GTTGTAGGTGGACACAATCTTTTGTTTTATGTGGTGCTGAGGATGGAACCCAGAGCCTCATGCGTGCTAGGTGAGCACTCTACCTCTGACCACAACCCCAGCCCATGCAAGTTGCTTTTGAACAGATTATTTCTAGTTTTCTGCATCAGCTTAAAGCACATCATTTGGTTTCCTTTTCCTGTGTGAGATGCTGCTAACTTATCATTTCTCACAGAGGGAAGGAATGTCTCATCACTTCCATCACGGTTCTTGCTGCTTCTTTGCTGGTGGCGTGTAGGACGGGAGGGTGAGTCGGAGAGCTGAGAGTGCAGTGAAACTCAGGATGCCTGGGCTGGGCCCCCAGGACCTCACGACTTTGCTGCCCCAGTTGAAGATTCTCCTCCCAAACTTGCTGGTCCAAGGACTACATAAAATATATAAAGTCCTGTTACTATTTCCACATGGGGTCATCAAGGAGAGGAAAGTCGTACCTTGACCAGGTGTGGAGCATCTACAAACGAATGAATAATGCATTTGCATACAAAGCGCATGGTCCTCAGAGCTGTCAGGTCTCGGTGGCATTATGAGGCCGTAGGTGGCTTGGATACGGGGTCATGCTGTGAGGGATCCGTCCTAAGGTGGGGGGTGGAGGAGGCTGTGGGTGTCGAGGCCACATTGTTTCAGTTGCTGCTTTCTTTCTGGTTTCTTTTTGTCATTGGATTTGACACGTGGTGACAGATGTTTTGCTACGTGGTGCCACCAGAGTTGGAATCCAGTGTGTGTCCATGCTGCATTACAGGAGGGGCAGTTGGACCTCTATGAGGAAGCTTCCAGGAGCTGAAGTCAATGCTGTTGTGCCTCCTGCTGTTAAGCAGCTGAGCTGCACACACTGTGGCCACTCCTAAGTGCAGGGCACCCCGTTGATCTTTCCAGAAGGAAACTCCTGGCTGAGCGCCTCAGGAAATCTGAGTATACGCTCTGGTCATGTTATTTGTCAATTATACCGTGTAAAGTGCCGTGTCCTTTTCACGTTCAGACGCTGCAGCTGGATTGTCTAACGTGCAGAGTGACTGCTAGGATCATGCCGTCCCATTTTGTGTGTGTGTGTGGTGCTGGGGTCTGAAACCAGGGCCTGTGCATGCGAGGCAAGCACTCTACCTACTGAGCTCTAGCCCCAGCCCTGTTCCATTTTTTAAATGAATGTAAGAAGCAAAATCTGCTGCATTTGCATCTTTTGAAGGCAAAGCTCCTTGGATTTTAAAGGAAGATGGTGCCTTGAAGGCTCACAGCTGGTGACAGAATGGCTGGAAGGGAAACCTGTTCTCCTCGGTTGTGGGGAACTTCACCTGGCTTTCGGTAGTCCTGTTTCAGAATGTGATGTGTCCTTCATTGTGAACTGTAATCACTGCCATCACAGCCACTAAAAGCTTTCGTCTCCTGTTGCTTTCGCCTGTGCAAAGCCCACAACCCTCAAAACTAATGTCATTGTCCCCTGTGTGCCATTTTAAAGAACACTTGGTGTATCTGTTCTGTGATAGCCACGTTGAAGTGTTCTTGCTCCTGTAATGACGATGGTTCTGTCCTTCAGGAGATTTGTCCACCTTCACTCCACTGGGTTGTTTGCCTTGGAGACACTCTTGGTTCACAGGTGGGATATTAGGACGGAACCTTGGAAATGTGGTGATATTTAAATACTGTTTGAAATCCAGAGAGGGCGAGAGCAGGAATTGTCCCAGTGGCATGAGAACTGGAGGCACATGGTTCCCTCTATTGTTTAACCAAGAATCATTTGCAGTTTCTATTCTTTAAATGGGCTGAAACATTAGATCTGTGCAGAGCTTGTTTTGAAATTGATGAGATGTGCTACCCACAGCTAAACTTTCTGGACAGCACCCCTTTACTTTCATATAAAGTCTAATAATAGAAAAGTGATTATTGGGCTGGGGATGTGGCTCAAGTGGTAGTGCGCTCGCCTGGCATGCGTGCAGCCTGGGTTCAATCTTCAGCACCACATACAAACAAAGATGTTCTGTCCGCCGAAAACTAAAAAATAAATATTAAAAAAATTCTCTCTTAAAAAAGTGATTATTATTACAAATTAAAATTCCTTCTTCCTATTCTTTTTGTTTTTCTTTTGGTACCAGGGATTGAACTCAGGGGCACTTGGCCACTGAGCCACATCCACAGCCCTAATTTGTAGTTTATTTAGAGAGAGGGTCTCACTGAGTTGCTTAGCATCTCACCATTACTGAGGCTGGCTTTGAACTTGAGATCCTCCTGCCTCAGCCTCTCAAGCTACTGGGATTGCAGGTGTATGCTACCATGCCTGGCCCCTCTTCCCATTCTAATGCTATATTATATATTTCAAGCTTCTATTTATTAACAAGTACAAGAAATAATGATCCCACAGACGCTGTTTTTGCTTGATTGATTCATATAATCACTGTTCCATGATAAATGCTTTTGGAATAAGAATGATAATGAAACTTATGGGCAACGCTGGCCTCACATATCTTAGAATGCAGATTAATGAAGTGTGCACATGCATAAACCCCCCTCAGACTGCAATTTCATTTCAGAACATTAATTTGTAGTCAATCAATCTGTGTATGGGTGGTGAATAGACCTTCTTCCCAATTTAGCTTCAGGCGTCTGCTGACTGTGAGTTGCAGGCCAGGGTTACCCCTCCATACCCCGCTTCCTGCACAAGGCAAACCCGTGCGGTGTGACCCGACCTTGGAGGGCGGAGGGGCTCGAGTCAGGAGCCTAGGCAGGCCCTCCTTGCCTCTGTTCATAAGGCAGGAGCCCATCTGCCTCCTTCCTGGGGCCTGAGCGGAGTGTGTGGCCATCAGGGTGCCTCAGGAGGGTCAGTGTGGACAGATAGACAGCCTGTGTTTGTTTTACTTCTCTATTTTATGGGGTGCTGAGGATGGAGCCTCCCACGTGCCATTCGAGCGCTCAACCCTGAGCCGCAGCCTTCAAGCCTTCCCAACAGACAGCCAGGGTCGCACAGGTGCATGGATCGCGCCCACACCTGGCGCGGAGGCTGATTGGAGTCGGGTCCCTGCCGCCCTGTCCTCTAGTGAGCTGCTCCACAGGTGCTCCAGTACAAGGTGACACCACAACCCCTTTGTGTCCAGCGAGTGTGGTGTGACCTGGGCTCAGCGCTGCCCAAGTACCGAAGTCCTGGGAGCCCTGGTGACCTGGACATGGTGCAGCCTCCGCCACTCAAGCCTGGTGCCCGGCTGGTCTCCAGAGGGCAGTCCAGCCACAGTGCTGGCTCTGCAACGCATGTGACTCACAGTAGCGTGGCCAGTGCTGAGACCCACCATCAGTGGACACATCGCGTGCTCCTACAGGGTCCCTGGGAACATGAACAAGCACTGGGAGCAAGGAAGACAGCAAGGGACACCGAGACAGGCGAAGCTGCCGGAATGATCCAGATGGAGTCTGTCCAGCTACATGAGACGGGGCGGGCACCCTCACACGGTTCCACCCCCAGGAGGCTGGTACCTGGGCTGCTGCAGGAGGGGCGGGGGGCACCATAAAGCTTCAGAGACCAGGGATCGGCCTCCCTGCACTCAAGGCCCAGGGGCCTGCTCCCCGGAAGGCAGCTGTGCTGGGTGCAGGGGAGCAGCTCTGAGCAAAGCAGAAAGGTCCAGCTAAACACGCCAAGGGTCCTAAGTCCCAAGATGGGCTCAGGCCAGCACCAGCAGGCTGTTGGACACCATCACAGATCCAAGACAAACCTTCTTTGTTCAGTAAATTTTCTTTAGTTGTAGGTGGACACAATACCTTTATTTTCCCTATTGACTTATTTTGGGGTGCTGGGGATTGAACTCAGGGGCCCTCAACCACTGAGCCATATCCCAGCCCTGTTTTGTATTTTATTTAGAGACAGGGGCTCACTGAGTTGCTCAGCACCTCACTGTTGCTGAGGCTGGCTTTGAACTTGAGATCCTCCTGCCTCAGCCTCCCGAGCTGCTGGAATGACAGGCGTGCGCCCAGCTTACTTATTTATTTAATGTGGTGCTGAGGGTTGAACCCAGTGCTTCACACACAGTAGGCAAACATTTTACCACTGAGACACAACCCCAGCCCTCAAAACCAAGCCTTGGGACTTACTTAGGGCCTCTACTTACTGCCCAGGAGGACACACGGGCTGAGGGGGAAGCACAGTACAGAAGACGGATGTGTGGGGCAGGTGCTGGGAGGCCACCAGCTGAGGTCTGGAGGCTGAGCACCCAGGAAGGACATGGGGGGTTAATTCTGCCTTGTAAAAAAAAGAACCATCTGGGATTCTCTAAGTAGCACTGAGGGCTGTGGGTCAGGGGGGCCCCCAGGGAGCTCTGGATTGCCTTCAGAGCCCGTTTCCAAGATGAAGTCCTTCCTGTAACTGGTGGGAAGTTTAAAACCCTCTTCTAGGCAACCAGCGCCTTACAGAGGAGAATGCGGGACCCACACAGGTTTAAGAAGACCGATAGACTACAGAAAAGTGTGGTGCCCTGTGGTGCCTGAGCCGGACCCAGAGCCCAGGGTCAGAGGGGCCCTGTAGTGGCACTGATGCACCGTGGCCCTGATCCACCCCACCCCTGCCCCGGAGGACAGACTCAGAATAGGCAGGGCCGCCTGGCTGTGTAGCAGGGTAGCAGAGGACAGGGGAGAGGTGGACACCAGCGGCCACGCGGTGGAGTCGGGGCCAGAGGAGCGCCAGCCTGCTGACCTCAGGGACCAGGCCCTCCAGAGGATACCACAGCCTCTCCAGAAAGTCCTGCCGGGGGCCAAACAGCCCGTGAGGAAGGCACCCCGACCCTGTCCCCCCTGCTGCAGCCTCCAGGATCCCTGCGGGGAGTGGCCCCCAGCCAGACAGTTTCAGGGAGCCTCAGACTCATTTCCTTGAACAAATAACCAAGCATTGCAAGGACCTCCTCACTGGCCCTCACACACTTCATTCGTTCCTGTTCTCCCTCTCTGGCCAGCACACTGCTTGGCACACCCCACCAGGTGAGCATTCACACATCTTTAAAAAAAATGTTTTAATAAGGAAATTATAACACTGGGAGATTTCATTTCAGTATTTCAGAAAATGTGACTGTTCCTGAAAAGGGCGTCTCCCCCAACGCTGGATACCAGAGGCTCTTTCCTGGTCTTTATGACTCCCTGACGCTGGATACCAGTGCTGGTCTTTATGAGCCACCTCAAACCTCTCACAGAACCTAAGTGCTCTGGAAGGGCAGGACTAATGTCCTCAAGAAGGCCGAGAGTCGCTGTGATTGCCGGGACGACCGTGGCCTCCACGGCCCTGGGCACCACACAGCACTCAGGGTGGGCCCTGGCCAGTGTCCCTCCCCCAGCAAGACCTCCAGGCTGCAGTGGCTCAGTGCCCAGTGCCCTCCTCAGAGCCGCTCTGCTGTGCCACCCAAGGAGCGGAGGACCCGAGAAGGCAGGCAGTCAGCAGGTCTTCAAGGAGTGAGCCCGCCATCCACCGCACCACCTGGTATTCCGTGTGCAATGTGCATGGTCAGAGCTTCTACAGATTAAATTACTTTCTTAAAAAATCCAATAAAATACTTCATACAATTCTCTTTGAAAAGTCTTTCCATTTTTGAACTTATAAAATGTTGTGCAAAAACAAATACTGACTTCAAATAAATAGGAAAAGAAGTGGGAAGACCTGGACATCTTTTAAATTAAGGTTAAAAATACCAACTGCTCTTCATATTATCTGCAGGATGAACTGCACAGAGGAGGCCCGACACAGCCCTTGGGGCACAGGCGCCCTTCCTGGTGAGGTCGGTGTGCTCAGAATTCACAGTGGACGCCCCCGGTGAGGTCCTTCACTACGCCTCCCTTGACCAGCCGCAGGAGGAGCCTGGTCTCCGTGGTCACGTTGTGCATGGTCTGCCAGTTCATGGCCGCCATGCACTGGCTGTCGAAGTAGTGCAGGGGCATCTGGGGGCGGCTGAGGTCATACCCAAAGCCTGCCAGGCTGACTTCATCGCACAGATGTGTGGCCAAGATGACGGCCACGGCGCCCATCGTGGGGACATTCTGAAAAAGAGCAAAGACCAAAGTTCCTCATTCGCTGCTTTGTGGTGCTGCAGGGGCTATGTGGGCACAAAACTGCCCGCTGCAGGGGTGGACCTCACACTACTTCACCTGGACAGCACAACTCCCCATGGGGGTCAAGGAGCCCATCTCCAAAATGTAGTCTGTGGATGCTCCCAATGTACCCTTGAGGCGCAGCTGGACAGGGCTCCTGGTCCTAGCTCAAGCTGCTTCCCAAGCTCCGCCTCTGCTGGGCGTCCTGAACCAGGGCAGGCCCACCGCCTTCTCATGTGACAAATATCCCCAGGCAACCAGAGGACCTGCCTGTCCCTCCCAGGGCCTGACCTCTGCTGGGACCCTGTGGGGGGCAGGCTGTCCCATGAACATCAGTCCTGCTGCTCTATGTCCACTTGGCCAGCTGCTGTTCTGCAGACCACATCCAGCTGAAGCCAGCTCCTTCCTACCCTCTGCTCAGGCCAGCACAGTTTTCGACCTGAATCAAGGGCTTCCTGTCTGTTCCTTTTAGACTGGACCCTCCCCACTTGGCCTAGCATGCCCAGGTCCAGGCCACTCGTGGCTCCCTGGGCTACTGCTCTCTTCCTGTCCTAGTGGCCCATGCCACCTGGAGGGTGCGACTCTGCATTCTGCTTCCCGCCCTCCAGCCTGGTCTTGGGTGAAGACACAGAGAACAGAACTGGCAGCCAATCCCAGGGTAAGCAGCCCTTCCGGACACGCTGGGCCAGTACTGCTTCAGGTACTTGGGGACCTTGGGATATTTGCATATACATAAGACACCTTGGGGCTGGGACCCAAGTCCAAACACAACACCCTGGCTTCCTGTGCATCTCACATGCAGCCTGAAGGCGACCTCACCAGCACCCTCAGGGTGGTGGCCTCCGAGGTCCCATGAACTCTGCCCTGGGGTGTGGGGTTGGTGCTCAGGATGCCTTGGGTTTTGGACTGGGGATGGGTGACCTCTCAAGCTCTGCTGTGTGGCTCTCACATGCACAGGGGCTGCCTTCCTGCTGTCTGGGCCCCGGGGGCTGCCATAAACAACCCTGACATGGGAATGGGGTTCTCTCCAGTGTGCACTGATTTAGGCGGGGACAGCGAACACAGGGACCATCATCACTCCTTAGAAACTGCTCCCTGCCGTGATGTGCTCATCTCCCTCAGGCTCCCTCTGGGGCTAGGCAGGAACCCCATGGCCAGCCCCATGGTTGCCATGGAAACTAAGAGGAGTGAGGCCTCAGGGCGCCTTCCTGCTGGGCAGCCTGGACCTGCACTGCGAGCCACCCTCCAGTACCATGCTGGCTTATTCTACCTCCATCCTGACAAAGACCTCTCAGATTTCCCAGCCTCTGCTACGGAGGAGGCAGGAAGGCCAGGCGGCTCCTTGGTGCCTGTGGGGCTGGTAGTGCCGAGTCCCCTGCACAGCATTCTTTGCTCATGCCAATCTCTCCTGGGGACGCCTGTTGGTGTGTTTGCCCTGGTCACTGGCACACCTCTTCTCGTGGATTGTGAGGAGCTCTGTGTGTTCTGGGAGTACTTATTATACCTGTGCTAAACTTAACATTTAAGAACAACTTCCATGCAAGTGTTCAGAGTTCTACACACTCAGTTGAGCGACTCAGATCCCGCAGACCAGCTCACGGGCCCATGAGGAGTGAGGCTTGGAGAGCGAAGTCACCATCACTGTCACCGAGGTGATGGTGAGTGCCACCTTGCACTGAGCGGCTCACCGTGTTCAAAGGAGAGAACTTTTCTGGCCAGTGAAGTGCCTTCCGGGGTCCTGCAGCTGCATGGAGCCCTGGAAAAAGAGCACTGTCCCTCACACCTCAGTGACACAGTGCTGACCATGCCAGCCAGCAGTCACCACACCAGGAGGCGCCCGGAAGCCAGGGCCCACTCAGGCTCCTCCTATGGGGAGGCTCCTGGGTTTCTAGTGGAGTCTGCGGGAACTGTGGACTGTCTCCCCTTGAATGTGGACAACGCTGAACTATGCAGCAGGAGAGTACCTTGTCTCGGCCCCAGAATCTTGACTGGGGCTCTGGGTATCGCAGGATGTCGAAGGCCGTCTCCTGGATGATAACTGGATTCAGAATCCTGAAATGTTTTGGCTGTAGGGGGATTTTTTCTGCCACCTGCTTCCAAAAGAAGAGTCGCACCCAGAATGGCTAAGGAAAGAAAGTGAGCCCTTGTTAGGGACTGGACAAGGTCACCCCGCCAGCAGAGGGGAGCAAACGCCCACCCGCAGGACCCACAGGCTCAGCCGCTGCTGAAGACCGTGGAGCCACTCAGAACCAGCTACCGGGAAAGCAGCAAGGCCCAGAGACGAACAGCAGGGCTGGGTGTGGCTCAGCTGGCAGAGCGCCCACCTCCTGGGCACAGGGCCCTGGGCTCAATCCTCAGCACCACAAGAAAACCAAAGCAAAACAACAAAAACGGTGCTTTGGACAGGACAGGAACGTCCATCAGGAAGCCCTCCTAATGGAGGGCTCAAACACGCCTATGCCTTCCACCAAGGACCCCTGAGAGGTGGTTTCTGCTGCTTACCAGGGTTTCATTTTTTGCCATTGCTTGAAGCCAGTTGAAATCAACACTCTTAAATAAAACAGCAACAAACAGGTCAGTAGCGTGATACTCAGCATCAGAGAGTGGGGCGCCCTCTGGGTAAGTCATCCGTATGGTAGTTTTATTTCCAACATGCTCGGAATAGCCCTCAATGGGCGCGCTGTTTAACCTATTCAAACGAAAAGAGAGACACAGTGACGAGGCCAGCGCCACCACCTGGCCACACCCCACAGCACCCAGGCCATGTTCCCACACTGTCTGGGACCAGGACATGCTAGGGTGGGCATTCTGCCTGCCACCTTGGCTGGTATGACAAACGCAGCTTCAGTCACAACAGAGCGCCAGACCTTACCTCTGAATGACCAGCGATTCTACCCACCCAGGACCTGAGCCCACGAACACATTCCATCCTGGGCTTTCTTGGGGTGCCAATAAAGTTTCCTTGAAAGATTCCCATTGTGCTCAAAATATTCCTGGTTCTTGTTAGAATTTCAAAAGGAAGTCAGAGGGAATCAATCCCCACGCTAGCACAAGGCAGGCACAAACCCACGTGCAGCGGCCGAGGAGGCGGGGCTCAGGTGGGGCTCCTGGCATGTCACCAAAGCCTTCACCAGGGCACTATTTCCAGGAGGTTCTACGAACCCCGCAGAAGCAGCGCCACAAGCAGCTACGCTGTTCTGAAATCTCAAGAAACATGCCTTTGCTTCTTCCTGTGTGTTGAACACACCTGCATTTAACCTTTCCCCTCCTTCCTGCGGCCACTTCCTCTTCCAGAACTCCTGACCTCATGTGCTGTCCCGTGGGCTGTCCCGTCACTTGACATGACAGTACCACATGCCAAGGTCCTGGGCTGGCAGCACTCTGGTCCTTTCTTTCCTCTGTTTTAAATAAAGCTCATTTGGGGACCATGGATGGAATGTAAGTGAGGGCTCAGGTAAGGCCTGTCTCCTAATGAGTACGTTATATTAGCGCTGGGGCCTGTTCTCAGGACAAACACACTGCACTGCCTAGGGGCAGAGGGCTGCTCTCTGCAGGAAGCCACCAGGGATTACAGGAGGATCTTCTCTCAGTGTGGTAGCCAGGGAGATTTAGGTTTGGCACTGTGCACTATCTATGGCTTTCCCGCAGCAACAGAGTGCCCAGTGCATGTGACCTTTATCTCCACTCTTGTTAGCTCTGGAGATGGGTGTTAACCTGTTGGGAACTGGACAGCCCACATTTAGCCTTTTTTGGTGAGGAACATTCTATGGAAGGCTTTTGATGTTTCCTGATGTAAATAAAGCAGCGTGGCTCTGTTTTGCAGAGTCCAGAAGCTGGACCCGTCTGTGGGGTAGCCTGTCCTGCCCCTGCTTTGTGGAAACATTTTCTGTGCCCTGTGGTTCTCTCGCCGTTCTATTTTTCCTAGCTCTTACTTCCCAGCCAGCCCATTCCACTGAGGGCAACCCCACTTCCACTGCCCGTGCGGGATGTGGGTGGAACCTATCTGCAACTCTCAAAGAGTCCAGAAAAGAATGGCAATGCAGGTAGGTCCCTGTCAACAGTCCAACTTCAGTCCCTTGACTTCTCGGTGGCGCAGAAGAACATGCAGGCGGCAGAAGCCTGCATGTCGTCCCAGGCCAAGGACACGTGGTTCAATACTCAGCTGTGATGCTGGGCAGCAAGCCACGGCTCCAGGCAGCCTCAGGACAAGGGGAAACTGGCCAGGCCAGGGGGCCACATGGCTGGGCCAGGGCGCTCTGGAGGGCAGGTGGCTCCAATGCATTTGGGACCTAACAGTGCTTCCCACTCATGATGGGCCAGACTTGGGGACCAGAGGGGGGAAGCTCTTTGTGCCATTCTTGCAGCGTTTCTTGATAAGAAACAGGTGCAGAGCAGTTAAGAAACTTGCCCCATACCACAGGGCACTATGTGGGCGTATCTTCACTTTCAGGATTCAAATGTCCAAACCAGATTTTATTACTGTCCCTCACCAACCACAGATTTTTTCACTTTCCCCATTTCTGACAGTGATTCCACTAATGCCTTTGACCCCCGATTGGAAATCTAGATGCCCCTGTCACCACCAGACTGTAGGAAGTGCTGCCCTACCTCCCAGGAGAGCTCCCTCTGTCCCCAGGCTCCACACCCTGAGCCCGGCCCTCCATGCGCAGGTCCCTCTCCTCTGCCTTCAACCCACCCATGTGCAGCTGCTAGGCAAACTGAGGTGGGCTGTGGCCCCCCAGGCCCAGGCTCTGCTTCTCTGTAAAATGGAGACAGGCAGCTGAGTGCAGTGACCCAGGACCTGGGGACAGCCACCTGTCTTGGAACCCACCACCTTGCTTTAAGGAAGGTCTCCAAGGAAATGATGGCAGAGGGACATGGAGACTCAGGGACAAGGATACGCAGGACACTCCACAGTAATGAAAACTGAGACCATCCAAGTGCCCCCAAAGAACCCCCGAGCCCTCACAACACCTTCCTGGAAGACCTGCCAGGAATTTAATGACCTCAGAAACCACTCCTAGTGTCTAGTTCAGAAGCACCCTGCAAATCCACGAGTCACTCAGGATCAGTGGGAACTCTGTGGGGAGCAGCGGCTGCAATTTCCTCCCCTCTTCTTCTGAATTTTAATAATGAACATATTTTACTAGTATAATTGGAAAAACAGGTTTGTTCATTTGCTCTTTCTGTGGTGCTGGGGAGGACAGGCAGGTGCTCTACCACTGAGCTACCCCATGGGAAAACAAATTTTAACCCGAGCAGAACCTGACGCCAGCTCCTCACTGCGGGTCCTGCTTGCCAGCCCCATGGCCTCACCAGCCTCTCGCCGCCTTGAAGACAGGGTCCCCACCTTGCTCTGACCTCCCGGGGCCCCCCCCCCCCCTCCCCCCCCCCCCCCCCCCCCCCGCCTTGACTGTGGCCCCTGCCTGCTGCCCCTGCAGCCTGGGTGCTGAGAAGTCCCTCGGGGGCGTGGACCCGAGCTCCACCCTCACTGTCCCCAGCAGTGGGCTGAACCCCAGCAAGAGGCTCTGGAAAGCCAGGTACCTTATCACGACGTCGAACTGGTTCAGGGCAGGGCCCAGCCCCAGGCCGTGCAGTATCCCTCCGCTGCCGATGACCACGCATCGCCGGCAGGCCTTGGCTTCCCAGTGTCCGGGAAAGCCGTGCTCGGGCAGCGTCTCCAGGAGGCTCTGGACTTTGCTGGAGAACTTGCGGAACCCGAAGGGAGGGTCGTACTTGTACTCGGCCCCGCTGGCGTCAGGGGCCTTCTGCACGAAGGGTGCCAGGTCCGCGCTGTACCGGCCCTCGAACAGCTGCACCATCGCCCTCTTGGCAAACGCCGGCCGGCACTCCCTCTGCAGGACCTGCTGGGCATGTCTCTGGGCTCTCTGCAAGGCAAGCGCAGGCTGAGTGGAAGCCGCCCCTACTGGGAGCACCACCCCTCTGGGGGACAGTCCGAGGGTGCCCATCTCACTGCTCCTGGAGGCGGCAAGGGCTCTGCCTCCTGCCAGTCTAGCTGAAGAGGACCTGGGGAAGAAAGCACCCAGGAATGCCAGCAGGCTGGTGTGCTGGACAGGGGCACCTGTCGCAGCCCACGGGGAAAGCTGGCTCACGTGACCCCTCCATGACCTATCTGGTCACCCACAGATGGACAGTGCCTGTGGGGAGAGGGAGCTGGCACAGCTGCAGAGGGCTATTCTGGCAAGACCCATATCTGGAGAGCTGCTTGGCCTCCAGGTGACCATGCTAAGGTGCAAAACTGCAGGTGTAAGAGTGGCCAAGAGGAACCAATCATAGTTTTCATTTGACCACAATTTTTAAAAGGTTTCATTTTGTAGATTCCCATCCTGCAGGATAAGGAAAAGGTTTCTTTAGCAGTTGGGTAACAAGCTGTGCACAATCTGGGGGGTAGTGACCTGAAACATGGTTAGGGACAGTGGCCTGTTAGCAGCACCTGTGTGGTTCGTGTCAGCTAGGGGCAGCTGCTGAGCCAGGGGCCCTTCTCCATCTCTCTGCCACCCCGGCCTTCCTCTGAGCACCTCCTTCTGCACTGCCATGTGCACGTGTGCGCAAGTGTGCGCTCCTGTACTCCCCAGGGTGTTACATAAGGGATTTACCAGGTCTTTTCAACTCCGCCAGTGTTGTTTTATGAGGACTCGTACAGCAGCCGAGTTCTAAATGCTACCCCAGTGTTCCAGCCTAGGTCTGCAGTGACCTCCAGGGCTCTATTCCAGCCTAGGTCTGCATTGACCTCCAGAGCTCTGTCCCAGCCTAGGTCTGCAGTGACCTCCAGGGCTCTGTCCCAGCCTTGGTCTGCAGTGACCTCCAGGGCTCTGTCCCAGCCTTGGTCTGCAGTGACCTCCAGGGCTCTGTCCCAGCCTTGGTCTGCAGTGACCTCCAGGGCTCTGTCCCAGCCTTGGTCTGCAGTGACCTCCAGGGCTCTGTCCCAGCCTTGGTCTGCAGTGACCTCCAGAGCTCCCCGCTGCAGGCTTGTTGTCCTGCAGCCCATTCAGAAGTGGGACTGGTAGGTAGCGCCTGGATCCCAAGGGCTCTGGACTTGACAAGGGACTGCCCCACAGAGGGTGGTGGATCACAGGCAGGAGAAGGGGGTCACTAGGGACGTGCCCTGGAAGGTGTATCTTGTCCCTGGCCTTTCTCCTCTGTTCTCTCTGCTTCCCAGCCACCAGGCTGCAGGCAGTGTGCTCCACTCTGTCAGGTTGTGCCTCATCTGAGACCCGGAGCAACGGATCCAGCCGACCATGGAGCAAGGCAGCCTCCAGAGAGGTGTGTGCGGAGTGCCGACCGGGCTGACTTGCAGCCCCTGGAGCGACAGGAACCCACAGAAACAGCACACGGCAGCCCCCGAGAAGAGCAGTCTGCACGTGATCAGTGGCTCCAAGAGGAATCAGGCCAACGAGGGGACACCGTGACCTTGCACCCGGACAGCCACACCAGCAGTGGGGCCACCATACTGTCTACACTCACCCTACTGTATGCACCTACCATACTGTATACACTCACCCCTACTGTATACACTCACCATACTGTATACACCCCACCATACTGTTTACACTCACCCCTACTGTATACACCCACCATACTATATATACTCACCCATACTGTATACACTCACCCCTACTGTATATACCCCACCATACTGTACACACTCACCTTACTGTATATAACCCACCATACTGTCTACACTCACCCTACTGTATACACCCACCATACTGTATACACCCCACCATACTGTACACACTTACCCTACTGTATACACCCACCATACTGTATACACCCCACCATACTGTATACACCCCACCCTACTGTATGCACTCACCCTACTGTATACACCCCACCATACTGTATACACTCCACCATACTGTATACACCCCACCATACTGTATACACCCCACCATACTGTATACACTCACCCCTACTGTATACACTCACCCTACTATATACACCCCACCATACTGTATACACTCACCCCTCCTGTATACACTCACCCCTACTGTATACACTCACCCTACTTTATACACCCCACCCTACTGTATACACCCCACCATACTGTATACACCCACCATACTTTATACACTCACCCCTACTGTATACACTCACAGTATATACCCCACCTTACTGTTTACGCTCACCTCTACTGTATACACCCACCATACTGTTTACACTCACCCCTACTGTATATATCCCACCATACTGTATATACTCACCTACTGTATACACCCCACCATACTGTTTACACCCACCCCTACTATATACACCCTACCATACTGTATACACTCACCTCTACTGTATACACCCCACCATACTGAATATACTCAAGTACTGTATACACCCCACCATACTGTTTACACCCACCCCTACTGTATACACCCCACCATACTGTTTACACCCACCCCCACTGTATACACCCCACCATACTGTATATACTCACCTACTGTATACACCCCACCATACTATTTACACCCACCCCTACTATATACACCCCACCATACTGTATATACTCACCTACTGTATACACCCCACCATACTGTTTACACCCACCCCTACTGTATACACCCCCCCATACTGTATTCACTTATCCCTAGACTCCAGGTCTGAAGGTTGTAAACAGTGATTTTTAGAAAACAAAGGCTCAAACCTCCCATCACAGTGACATCTCAGGCATCTGGCTTTGCACATCTCCTTGGGTGGAGGGAATATCTGGGAAGCACCGTGAGAGACCTGGGAAGCTTCCCCTGCCTGTGGTGGAAAGTGAGGTTGCAGTCTAGGGAGGGGCACAGCTCTGGGGCTGAGAGCCTTCTCTAGGAGTTTCATTGGAAGGGGTAAGACTTCATTCCTTTTCCATTCTGGCCAAGAGTTCAACATCAGGCTCCAAGCCACATTTTCTAGGCTTTGAGCGGAGTGCAAAGCCCAGCAGTCACCTCTGGCTGCTGCCCTCATGGGCCTGGAGCAGGCTGGTGCAGGAAGTCAGTCTGAGCCAATGTGCCTTCTAAATGCCACGGAAGCCGGGACAGCCGGTGCCGTTCCCTTCATCCACTTCAACTCAAACGTGTAAGGAGCAGGGAAGGGACAGGTCAGGGCCTCCTTCCTGAGCTCCACCCGGGCTCCCCTTCACTGCTGCCTGAGCCCAAAGCTCCGAGGAGAACGCCTGGGAGAGGCACCCTGCGCGAGCTCTGCCGTTGATGGCTCCAGAGCTGGAAGCCAGTGCAGCCAGCAAGGGGCACCCCGGGAGGAGATGGTGCGGGGCCTGGGCAGCGGCCAGGGAATGGGACGCTCATGCAGGACACATGATGCCTGTCCTTCCCATCCTCAGCGTCTTTCAGGATGTTCACAACTAAAACTAAACCGACACCTGGCACCTACAGTTGTGAGGTCAACGCCGTGGCAGTCTGCCACGGAGAACCAGGGTGAAGGTCCTGGCCTCCACTTCACTCCACTCCGCGACGTTCAGGATCGTCCATCTCAGGAGCATAGGCACGGGGCATGTTTGTTAGTAAGAGGCGAGATTCTGTTACGGTCATCGCTTCAAAAAAGCACTCAGGAGAGGGCACAGCGCTCAAGAGGAAGGCAACCACTGGAGGGAGCCCACCTGCCGGGCACCGTGACCTGGGGCCTCGGTTGCCTTGGACCACTTCCTTCTCCCCGTCTGGAAACTCGAGGGGAGATGCCCCATGCACCTGCCCAGAGCCTGACACAGGGAGGGCTGGAGCTCCTGAGTCATGAGCCCACACTATGCGCCTTCTGCAATGTCACCAGGTTTAAAGCAACACAATCTAAATGACCAAGTCACAGAAAGAATACTACAGTGAAAACTTGGCCAGTTGCCTGGGCCGGGGGCCGAGCTGAGGACTGACTGTGAGGGATCATACACTGACATGTGTGAAGCAATGTCCCCAGCCTAACTGCGGCCACAGGGGCGAGACCCTATAAATTACCTTTATTTTCATCAAGGGAATGAGTCCTACCACTTACAGTTTACCACCACCAACTCTTAAGGAAACCACATCTGGCAGACATGGTGGGGGGACGTTCCAGAGCCTTGAGACCAGTAATGTTGCCTTGGTCACAGTTGGTCACATCACTTTCTCACCTCCCAGACATTCCAGGGAGGGGAGACAGGGCATGGGTGCTGGTGCTGTGGCTCACTGTGAACCCAGGAAGCAGAGGGCCATAATCAACTGTAGTGGGCTGTGAGGGGCAAGGTCACACACTTGCTCCACATGGCACATAGATGAGTGAGTTAGCACCACTGACCACTGCAGGGCAGGTCCAGCACACAGTGAGCACTGACTAATGAGGCCTGAGCAAGTAGCTCAGCCCTCCAGGTCTGGCCTCCCCAGCAGAAGGCAGTGATAGTCTCAGGAGAGAGCCACACAGCCCAGTGTGTCAGCCACCATCCCTAACGTGCCCCCTAGTGAGGCACCTCTTCCCACAGGCAGGCCCCAGGCCTGCTAATCCAACCTCGTCCATGGCCAGCGGGATCTCTGCTGAACCGTCAATCCATTACCTGCTAGAAAAGTGGATGGAGAGAGAACTCAACACAGGACCTCGTGAGAATGGAAGAGACCACCGGAGGGACGAGAGCTACCCTGGCGCGTGCTCCCCTCTGCTCAGAACGGGTGGGCAGTACCACACTAGCAGCCCCCGCGCTGGCACACTAGTGGACCCCCCACCCCCACCCCCACCCTGCGGCTGCGGTGAGGGGCAGCTGGGCAGCTTGCAGGCAGCGGGGCCTGTGGGGAGGCATCTGGGTGGATTCCTGCATCCAATGTCCATCACCCGGGGATGGCAGCTCACCTTCATGCGTTCAGGGTCCACGTACTGCATCTTCCGGCCGCCGCACTCCTCCGAGGTGTAGCTCAACTTGAGGATGTAAAGGAGCCACACTCCCAACACCAGCAGGGAGCACCTGGAAGAACCAGGTAGGCAGTGACGCCGACCCCCACGCAGCTCGTGGAAGGAGCCACTTCCCTCAAAGCCAGCTAGTCACCCGGCTGTCCAAGGACCTTGATAAAACCTAGGCCACAGTGCAGATCAGAGACTGGACAGAAGCACGCTCTGGGTCAGGGCCACAGAATCTAAGCTTCTGGGTTTGGCTTCTTTAAAATACTGTCAGTCCTTCCAAAAACAGGAACACGAAAGAAACAATCTACTCATAATACTTCTAGAAAGTTCTACCAGGAAATGAGGCTGACTGCAGGGAGACAGCACTGGATATCTCCCTAGGACCACCCAAAAACTGTTTTCAGAGATGTGAGCATCCACACTGTCATGTCCACACACACGTGCACACTCACARAGGTCTGGAGGAAGAGCTGGGTCTAGGTTCTAGGGGTCTCATTTTTCACGAGCTCCCCAGGGCCCTGATGAACTAAAGGTAAGACCACCCACACGGGTTTAAGGTTTAAGTACCACAGCTTTCCMTGACCCACGTCTGCCAGGGAAGGAGGGAGCCGGGCCACGGGGAATGGTCCCTGCGCCAGGTGAGGGGCAGCTTAGAGCAAAGCACCCAGCACGCGCCCTCTGCAGGTGCCACAGTGGCAGAGCTGGGCGCAGGCGGGAGGCGTGGCAGGCAGGTTTTGGTCTGGTTCTTGGTGCTGGGAGTGGAGCCAGCCCCAAGCACATGGGCAAGTGCCCTACCCGCAGCTGCCCAGCCTACTGGGCAGTCAGGGTCCTCTCTCTCATTTCAGGCTCCCTGTGGACACCTGGACACAGATCTGAATTCTTCCCTGAGACTAAAGACCATGAATGACCAGGATCCTGCCACTGCTGTGTGGGAACAGGACAGGACACACAGACACACAGGGGAGAGCACAGACACACAGGAGAAAACACACACAGACACACACGCACTCACAAGAACCCTGCAGCACGGTGGTCCTGAAGGGTGGAGGGGACATGGGGAGCAGGCTGGGGGACCTGTGGAGTCCCTGTGCTGTCTTCTGAGTTTCAAGCCTTGGGACGTGGGTGTCCCTCTCCCTGGCCCCCAGAGTCCTGCATGCTGAGTGCCCGAGGCCTCTCCTATTTGCCCCATTTCCCCTCTGGACACCTTGGCCGGCCCTGGGCGGGCACTCACTTGATGACGTCTCTCAGCAGCAGGCTGGGTCTCCGCATCCTGCTCTGCGCACTGCTGTACCATTGCAGGGGGGTCCTTGAACTGTCACTCCTGGGCTTCAGAGAGTCGCACTCACTGGGCATTGCTGCAGGAGAGGGCACAGCGGGCACAGGGTGTGTAAGCCGAACTGGGCTGGCAGTGAGGGGACAAACTGGGGAAAGTGCCACCTGGGCCTAGGTAGAGGGAGTCGGTAGTGACAGCAGGGCTGCAGGCCATGATTCCTGAGCTCCAGAATGACAGCCCCGTAGAGAGGACCCGTGGGGGCGTCTGGGGCTGGGGGGGGGACACGTGGGAGGGACATGTCGGGGCTTCTGGGGCTGGGGAGGGGGACACATCAGGGTGTCTGAGGCTGGGGACATATCAGGGAGGCTGAGGCTGGGGGGGACACATCGAGATGCCTGGGGCTGGGGGGTGGGGATGCGTCAGGTGTCTGAGGCTGGGGAGGACAGGGCGTCTGGGGCTGGGGAGGGATGCATGGGGGGAATGCGTCGGGGTGTCTGGGGCTGGGGGGTGGGGACGTGTTGGGGTGTCTGGGGATGCATGGAGATGCATGGGGGGCTAGGGATGCATCGGGATGTCTGGGGCTGGGGATGCATGGGGGGGATGTGTCGGAGCAGCTGGGGCTGAGGGGTGGGGGCGCATCGGGGGGTCTGGGGCTGAGGGGTGGGGGCGCGACGGGCCAACTGGCGCTGAGGGGTGGGGGTGTGATGGGGTGTCTGGGGCTGAGGGGTGGGGACGCATGGGAAGGGGATGTGTCAGGGCGTCTGGGCTGGGGGTGGGGACGCATCAGGGTGTCTAGGACTGCGGGGTGGGGACACGTTGGGGAGTCTAGGGCTGCAGGGTAGGAACACGTGGGGGGTGTCTGGTGCTGGAGGGTGGGGACACATCAGGGTGTCGGGGGCTTCAGTGATGAAGATGTTCCCTGTCTTGTGCCTATGTAGCCTCCCAGCTATGACGGGAGCCTCATAGGCACCACTGTCGGGGACTAGGAAAGGCACGGAGGCACCCCGAGGTATCTCATGAATTTACGATTATTCCAAAATGTTTACTCTTTTTACCTCAGTACTTGGGCTTGAGCTCAGGGTACTCTACCACTGAGCCCCAGCCTCCTGTCCCCCATTTTCCATCTTGAGACAGGGTCTTACTACATCCCCAGACCTTTTTATTTTTATTTGTGACCTTTCAGGCATATGTGGTAGCATATACCTATTATCTCAGGGACCCAGGATGTTGAGGCAGGAGTGTTGAGAGCCACAACCAAGTCAAGATGGCACCTGGCATTTTGCCAGAAGGAGTGATTGAGGGGTAGCGCCAGCGAGCCATTAGGATGATGATGGTTAAGTTAAGCTGTGTATAATTATTGGGATGATGGCTGATTGCTGTAACTGGATGATGCTGGATTGGGGCAGGCTGTGTATTCAGTTGTGCATATGGACCTCTGCTGTCCGGCAATAGGGCGGCTCCTGCTACCTTGGGTGCCCATTACTTTTGAGTTCTCGCGGAGTTCCCGTGGAGGTCTCGAATAAAGTAGTTCCTGTTTGAACCTACAAGTGGCTCATGACCTCCTGGTTATTTTGTGCCCAGCCAGACTGGAGGATCACAAGTTTGAGGCCAGTCTCAGCAACTTAGTGAGACCCTGTCAGAGAACGATTATCTAGATGTTAGTAATCATTCTTTAACTTGTGCACAACCAGTGGGTGACAAGCAACTTGTGAAGGTTGATACAGCGGGAGCCGCTTTATTGCAAGACGGTTGAGGTATTTATACATAACTGAATACACAGCTTGTTTCAATTTAGCATCATCCAGTTACAGCAATCAGTCATTAAGGAATCCTCATCATCTTAATAATTATACACAGCTTAACTTAATTAACATCATTAGATACAGCAGTCAGTCATTAAGGAATCTCCATCATCTTAATGGCTCGCTGGCGTTACTTTTCAAACCACTCCTTACAGCAAAGTGCCAGGCGCCATCTTGACTTGGTTGTGGCTCTCAGCATACTTCCCCTTCTGCTTATGATTTTAGATCTTGTGATGTTTGTTTATGATTTTGAATCACAGCAACAGCCACTTATGATTAATATGGTTTGGACTATAAAGGTGTGCTCTAACCCTGGGAGCTGGTGGAAGGGTATAGACTTGGAGCCTGCCCCTTGGCCCACCAAGGTGGATCCAGACCACGGACTGGTGAATAAAGTTTCCATCTCCTGCTTTAATATCAACTCAGTGATTGATTGTAATCTCACCATCACCTAAGTATGATTATAAAAGGGGACTTATTAGGTTGATTTATGTGACCAGAGATGGACAGTCCACATGGCCGTCTGCAGGATGGGAGAACCAGTAGCTGCACAGTCCAAGAGGCTGAAGCTCCAGAACAAGAGGATTCACGGTGCTGCCCTAGCCTGAGAGGGAAGGCTTCTGGGGACCACTGTCAGAGTTCGCTTTGGAAGAGTTCGATATCCTCAGATGATCACAGAAGCAGTAAGAACCCATTCGGGCTGGGGCTCAGTGACAGAGCATTGCCTAGCATGTGTGAGGTACTGGGTTCGATCCTCAACACCACATATAAATAAATAGAAAACAAAGGTACATCAACAACTAAAAACTATTAAAAACAAAAGAAAACATTCAAGAAGAACTGAGCTTGCATCTGCTGCTGCTTCCTTGTTCTTCCAATTTTTATTCCATCCAAGCTACCATCCTATAGGTTGATGCTGCCCAAGCTTAGGGAGGGTCTCCATTTCAGTTGGCTATTCCACATGCCAGTCATTCCTAGACACAACCTTAAAGACACATTCATAATCCTCTCAACTCCTGGCATCTCTTAATCCAATCAAATTGGCAATTCAAATTAACTGTTACAAGTCCACCCCTTTTCAATCTGATATCCAAGTATGATTCTTTATATCATACTTAATCTCCAAGTAAACACAATAGCCAGGTGATAATTCTGACTAACATAATTATCCTTCCTATAACTGAATACACTAGTTCTTTCTCCAGAATAGAAAAAACACAAACATTACTGATGTTAAGTCATTACACTATTACATTACATGATGAATAACAGGAGAGTAACAACATTTCCTCTTAATGTATGTGTAAGTACACCTGAACATATTGTTAATGGAACAGGGAAGAGTCATCAGTGGCAATTACAATCCTCATTTCTGTAACTGTCCACGTGGCCACAGCTGGTATTTATGACTAACTTCTACCACCCGCTGTGTATTCCCTCAACCTTCAGCAAGTATTTCAGCAGGTCTTGGCTCTTTCCCTGAAGGTGGGACCCACACCTTCATTCCCGAAGGGTCTGAGACTTTTGTCACCTTGCCTGGATTGGGTCCCTGTGGTTTCCCAAGTACTTAACAACAGTACCAGGAGACGCCCTAAGGGATCTCCTGCACTCCAGGAGTGTGCTTCTTTACCTCCATTGTGGAGTGACAGACAATGTCCCCTTGGGACTCTGGATCAGTCATCCCACCAGCACGGTGACTCCCTCCTTAACTTGCTGACTCAGTTCATGTATGTGCAGGGGAGGGGAGCTTAACTTCCAGTTTAATGAAATCACTGTTGCATCTCCAGGCAGAAGCATTCCTCCTTCTGGAACTAAGACTTCCAGGCTGCAGAGTATAATGTTGCAGGGACAGGAAGCTCAAACTTTTCTAGTGGGTCCCTAGGGGTGATGGTGAGAGGTACCATTTCCATCTCCATCCATAAATTCATTCCTGGACCCATGAATTCTACCAATAGGAGAGACAGTACCATAGAGTGGATGCTGATTCAGAGTATAGACAGCCTTCTGAAGTTCTTTGTCCCTGCCCTGCACTGTATCGCCACCTAGCTGGCACTGTAACGGCATCTTCAAGAGTCTATTCCAATGTTCTACCAAACCAGCTGCTTCAGGATGGAGCAGAACACGGTAAGACAGTGAATCCCATGAGCCTGACCCCACTGCCACACTTCTTTGGCCATGAAGTGAGTTCCTCGGTTTGAAGCAATGCTGCGTGGAATCCCATGGCAATGGATAAGGCATTCTGAAAGCCCATGGATGGTAGTTTGGGCTGAAGCACTACGTGCAGGGAAGGCAAATCCATAGCCAGAATAAGTGTTATTTTGGTAAGGACAAACCGCTGCCCCTTCTGGGATGGAAGCAGCCCACTATATTCAACCTGCCTCTGGTTGCTGGCTGATTTCCCAGGGGAATCATGCCACTAGGGGGCTTAGCGTTGGTCTCTGCTGCTGGCAAACGGGCTGTGGCTGTAGCCAAATTAGCCTTGGTGAGTGGACGTCCATGCTGCTGAGCACATGCATAACCGCCATCCCTGCAACCATGACCACTGTTCATTGCAGGGGTGGCTGGGGAAAGAGGTGGACTGCTGTCCACAGTTTGGGTCATACCATCTACCTGATTATTAAAATCCTCCTTTGCTGACATCACATTTGGTGGACATTCACATGAGACCCAAATATCTTCACATCCTTTGCCCGTTCAGACAGGTCTACCCACATACTTCTTCCTCAAATGTCCTTGTCACCAATTCTCCAATTATGTTCTTTCCACTTCCCTGACCAGCTAGCCAACCCCTTGGCTGTGGCCCATGAGCTAGTGTTTAATCACACATCTGGCCATTTTCCTTCCAGGTAAAATGCCCAGCCAGATGCTACCACATCTGCCTGAAGTTCTGCCCACTTTGAAGGTTTCCTTTCACCAGTGTCCTTCTGGGCTGTTCCAGAAAGGGGCAGCAGTGCCACAGCTGTCCACTACTGGGTGGTACCTGGGTATTATGCAGAACCATCCTGGAACCAAGCCCCAGTCTTCCCTTCCTCTGTCAATTGAGCATAAGGTTCATCCCACGAAGACACAGGTTCATTCTGAGGGACAGAAGGTACTGCRGCAGGAGCAGGAGCCATGGACAGTTGGCTACTTCTTCATGCAGCCTACTTGTGCCTTCAGGTCCCTCCTGTGCTCAATGGCGTAGGTACCACCTCCACTTGGTGATGGAGTACTGCTGCACATGTCCGACTTCATGGCTTGGTGGGTCTGATACCACCCAGCTCATAATGGGCAGCTCAGG